CGAAGACATATCGAACGAATCAAGCCAAAAAAAAAAAATGACATGGTTACAAGTTGAGATAATTAGTACAAGTGAATTACATCTTGCTACTGCCTAATCATGTAAACACCATGAGCTGATATCTTAGGCGATCGAGTTTCCAAATCTGATATCTACAAAGCATTCACTCATCAGGTTAAATACTAATTTAAGATTGTCACATCTTTTTTCATACGAAGATCCAAGCGAGAGATAGAAGTGGATCAAATAGACTGTGAATCTCTGCCCGATATCCACCCTAATTGCGCAGAGTTTGTCTTTTAAGTAGTAGCCCTAGTCATTAATTTGTCCTGAATCCACACGGGTCGGATCAAATATCACTTGCCCATGCCCATAAAGTCAATTGGAATCGAATTCGTTAGTTAGGACATAACCCACTCGTAAGCTTATCCTAATCATATTTTAATCATCTATAATCCTTCTTTATTGGCATGCATATGGTATATAAGCTTAGCTGTTGGCATGGTTTCCTCTCTTTATATTCAAGAATCAATTTGAGATTTGGTTTTATTTGCCTAGTGGTAAGTGCACCTGCATATGTTGCTGTCACATTATATGCACTTCTATTATTCTCCCTGCGCATCCTCTTCATTCTCATTTCATGTCAGCCTTCCAAGAGATCAAGTGAACAAGGTAATCCTCTACATTTTTTTTCTCCCGCGCTCTTTAGCCACTTCGTATATATTAATGGTTATATTAGGAGAACTTAGATTTTGAGCCATTGTTATCCCTTAAAAACTTTGAATTTTGTTTCCGTTGATATATCGGAGAATTTAGCCTTTGGTTCGAGGATGTTTATAATTGAAGCACTGAAATATTGCATCGATGGAAAGATATCAAATTTTCAAAATCCTGTATCTTGAATAATGAAAACCAAATGTATGTGAATGGAGTAAAATCCTTGCCTATCGATCATTTGAACTTGACTAACACATGAAAGTAGATCCCCAGCCTGCGTTTCCCTGAAATACAAAAACTAGCTTATTGATTGCTGTCATGGTCTCAACTGAACTGGCAACTTTGATATCGTATCTATGGATGTGCATAGCTCATGCATGCATGAACGACAAAGGCGAACTTATCTGAAAGATTTTTGTGTATGTTGCGATAAATCAATCCGTATCACGCACCTTTTTCCTTGAGATAAATTGCAGACCAGTCAATATGACGGAAGTTCAGCAAATGAGAAGAATAACTTCTCTTTTCATGCATATGGACATCAAAAGCCACATAGTTGTCTCTTCGGCATGTGCATCTTAAAAGGCCTGAAACTACATTTTAATTTCCTGTAAATCGCGTACCTTGTAACTTCGAAACCTGAAATCTGATCACAAGTTCCTCGCAGGGCAAAACTCTGAAAATCTAAAGAGATCACGGAGCGCTATATGATCATATGCAAGCAATACTTTTATGCGATAAAATGGAGCTTTATGGTTATTTTGAGGAGAATTTCCATCATCTCAAGTACGGGTGAGCACATTCCTCTGTCTTTTTAGTTGATGGAAAATCCTTATTATGTTCCAAATGCTAAAATGCTACTAGCTAGCCACTGGCACTTTTCCTTTAGTTAGTTACCAGGAGCATAAAGTATCTCAGAAAGGAAACATGATATATTTTCTTATAGGAAAGCGAGTCGTATATATCCAGCTTGTTCAGTTTTCTAGTAGATCGGACAAATTATTTGAATCTTCACTTTCCGCTAAGTACTAATAATTAGCGCTAATGATAGATTAGAGGCTTCCAATTATATAAGTACTCATACTAGAGTTTATATCAAATTCTATGCTGTACCATGCTATAAGTTCTACGTATCAATTTTAGTCTATGGTGGCATACTGGCATCTTTTGTGTTATCTTTTTTTTTGGCACCGAAAATAAGAATAATATATAGGAATAAAAAGATCAACATTAACATTAGAAAAATAATATTGAATCAGGTTGATCACCAACTTCCTTATATATATATGTATATATATATATAAGGGAAAAGTGTTGCTAAGGTGACGCCTTAGATAATCATCTAAAGACGCGGCCTAAAATCACACGATTGAGCTAAATTGTAGATGATCTGCTCCGTTAAACTTGATCTACATATTATAAAACTCCAACACACCAAGTTTAGGGTGAACCCGTCGTCGTTTGACCCTTCATCCACTCGTATTAATTTTAACGGTTTCGAACGAATAGAACTTTTCACATGGCTCGACGAAGGGTCAAACGACGATGGGTTCACCACAAACTTGGTGTGTTAGAGTTTTAGAATATGTAGATCAAGTTCATTTTCTTTCCATTTCTTTCCACTGCATACGATTGTGCAGGGACCTAGATGTCGATAAATTATTCAGTCAATCCTATCTATTGGATAGTTTATGCGTCAAAGACTATATATCCTTGGATCAATATAAAAAACAAAGTGGTTAGAAAACTCTGACTTGTCAATAGTCTAGAGAGAATTATCCTTTAAAACTCTTACCTAATTTTCTATTGAGAACCTTATTATAGAAATTGCCATCGGTTGAGATAGCGTCTAAACAATAACACTGAGTTTGGATAGAGTTTTCCAGGAGGGGAGAGAGTGAGGGGAGGTTTACAATGCTAACCCTTCCAATATATTGTGTCTGTTTACACTTTTTAACTAGCAAGGAGAGGGGTGGGGAGGGTTGGAAATTAGAAAATTCAGCCACTTTCTCAACCCTCTAAAAGTCGACGGTTTTGGAGTGGTAGGGAGGAGTTTCAAGTTGAATTTTTTTAAAATTCCAATATTGCCCTATATGAGAAAACCAAAAGTTGTTCTTTCTTATTTTATTAAAAGGATATACTAGTCAAGCAGTTCATCTTCCATTTCCATCCCCTATTCTAAACAAACGCATATTGTAGTCTCTTATCCCCTAGTTTCTATCCAAACATAAATGAATATATTCCACTTTTTTTCCCCCTTTCCACTCACTCCCTTCAGGTTTAAGTCAATAACTCCCCTCCCCTCCTCTCCTTTTGTATACAAACCGAACGTAAAGGTTTCCACAAAGTATGATTAAGAAGAGTTTTGCCTTTCTTTTACGATGAATCAACACCAAAACTAGCGGAAAGTATTAGAAAGTAGCCCAAAGCTACATCAAGGCCCGCTTTGGGCCCACATAAGGCGGAAGGGCGACCACTGTCACGGTGGGAGCACTTAAAAAAGTTGTATGGCGCCTGATTATGACACACATGCTGACGTGTAAAATTGACATCACTATCATCCACCATTTTAAAGATAATATAGCTTAATACCTCCATTAACATTTTGTTTTATTGTCTAATCATTATCAATTGACCACAAATTTTAGAGAGCAACACTAGGAACTACTATGATATAACCACCGCTCGGTGAGAATAAAGCAAAGCAACTCAAGGGAGCTTCGGCTAGTAAGCCATAAGTAAGCAGTTGTTCAATCGTTCAATAATTTTGCTCTTTTTTGAAAAACAACATTAAGTTCTTTTGGAAAATATTTGTATGCTTATGATCTTACCTTTTATAGATAGCTCTCAAGCTATTAAGATTTAACTTTATTTAATTTATTATATAATTTTAGAGTACTTATTGCGTAGCGTATAATATTCTATAACACCTATCCTTTAATTCATGCTATAATACAAAATTTAAGAACAAAACACTTTTACTTTGGTCATAAAAGTTATATTATAGGGCCTACAGATTTTGTAAACCACGATAGAATGACTTATTTAATTTTCCGTTTGATAACAAGTGTTAAATTCAGAATTAATATTGTATCCGAGCATAAAATTTATACAAATAATAATAATTTAAAATTACACACTTCCAAAATAGAAAATACTTTACCATTTCCCCATCTTTTTAGATAAAATAATTCTAATTCTCATGTAATTATAATCTAATAAAAATCTCGTTCTTCAATCAAATACCAGCCGTTAGTGCTCTCACCGCGGTACCCTGACCGCCAGGTAATAACACCCTGCTGTCGTCAGCTGACGTGGTGCCGACTCAGAGAAAGCTGCCGCTCACCGCCGTGCTTCGCCATTTCCCGCGCCTTATAACAGTTAACGGGAGAGTGACGGCGTTAACCGCCAACCAATCGAGCTCGATCCCCAGGAGAATACAATGTTAGTTTAAAATTACAAACCAGTGTAAATTTTTTTTTTAAATAATTAATAATTTTCCAAAAAAAAGTCAAGAAAAAGGGGGAAGGAGACGAGAGCGAGTGAAAATTCCCACAAAAGCCCCAGTTCCGTTTTGTATTTTTCTTCCGCTCCTTCTCCCAACTTTTCTCCGTCTTCTCTATCTCTCTGTTTCTCTAGTTTGAAGTCGAGAATGGGGATTAGGGTTTTAGGAGAAGGGTTGTGGTTCCGGAGGTCTCTGAGGAGCTCCGGACGCTACGAGGAATCATCCCGAGGTTTGATTTTTGTATTAAAGTTTTGATTTTTTTTTTCTGTGTGCACGAAACAAACGGAATTAGGATTTTTTTTTTTTGGTTTATTATATTTCAGTTGGATGATCTTATTGTTTAGTCTGAATTGAAGAAATAAGGTAATTGTTGCGCATTTATTTGTTAATTGTTAACTGTGGAAGCTTGGATATTTTTGGTAGTACTAGCAGGCAGGGAAAAGATCTTCTAGTGGCAAGATGACCGCCGAGGAGGAATTATGCTGACATGTAGATAGCATTTATTCACAGTAGAGGCCAAATTGAGGCTTGAAAAAGTAGGAGGATTCCTAACTTTATTCACTTTGCTCAGGTTCATGGTTCCTACGGTAGTTCGGTTGTAGGCGAACATCCTTGTTTGCTGTGTTTTTATTTATCATACAGTAGTGTTACTCGGGGAACTGGTTATATTTGGTTACTAACACCTGAATTGGTACTTTTATTGTTCGGAGTATGTCGACACAAATAGTTTACTTTAGGCTCTTAACGTTTTTTTTGCGTTATTTGGGGAAACAAGACGGCGATATGTCGTATATCTTGTTGAGATTATGGCTTCGGAAATATCCTATTTCTCTTTCAGAAGATAATTTCCCAGTGTCATTACCTTCTCATGCTGAAAGGATTCATAGGGCTTACTAGAATTGATCTGATGCCCTTTTTTGGGGGGTGTTCCTTTATTAAAGAAACCGACTTTCTTATGTGAAAATATCTGTGAGAGATAACACGCTTTTTCTTATGTTCTGATACTTAACATCACTCTTTTGCTTCTCCTTAGATTTGTATAGCTTCCCTGAGTACTTATTTCCAACTGTCCTGTCTTGCAGTCCAAATAGTATAAGCTCTGCCTCAGCTCAGTTCGCGACCTCTAGAGCTATGGGAATATATGAAGCAAACCACCACAACAGCATATGGGGAAACTCATTTAAAGTTGACAGCGGTATGAATACAGGTGCACCTGCAGTAGTTGAAGCTAATCCCAAACTTAACAATAGGGTGAGATATCAATGCCGTTTCTACTCACGGAGTGCAAATATTACTCATGGCTTGCAGCTTTCACTTTTCTCCTAATTGGCAGTTCACTGATATTACTTTTGTAATACTATAACAGTTAGAAGATATTCCTTCGGATGCTCTAGAACAAGTAGAACCATCAAAAAGATATGACCAGGAAGCAAACAAGCCCGCAGATAAGGTAAAGGCAAAGTCCGTGTGAAACTTGGTATCCGTTATTTTGAACAGAAAATGGAGTGACTTTAAAATGCTTCATCAGTTATGCCTGAAATATGATTTCTACAACACTTGATTAGTGAAAGGCATGCATTTCAAGGATTTATTTATTTTTATGCACAACCTACTTTTTAATTTTTTTTTTCTAATATAACATTCATGCATTAACTACTTATAATATTACATTATCATATAGTTCAATACCTATGCCTATCGTCTGGTGTCTCTAATCGCAATTCTTAAGAGAGATTATTACTTGCCAAATTATCATATGCATGGTTCATTGAAACTGTAAGTTCATATTCAGGTATCACGTCGGCTTGCACAAAATCGGGAGGCTGCACGGAAAAGTCGTTTGCGTAAAAAGGTACTTTCACGCAAGTTCAAACTCCTTCACTGGACTATGATGGGTACAACCAGTGATCATATGCGTGTAAAGCTTTCATAAATTTGTTTGCAGGCTTATGTTCAACAACTAGAAACTAGTCGCATTAAACTGGCTCAAATAGAGCAGGAGCTTGAGCGGGCTAGACAGCAGGTACGAGAAGACCAATTAAATCTGTAGCTACTTAAATCATGCACGTAATCTGCCTGAGCACTGTGTTGAATTTTAGGGCGTATATGTAAGCACGCATGCAGGAGATTCGAGTCTCGGTTTGTCGGGAGCTGCTAACTCAGGTAAGTTATTGAGGTTATATGTGTTTGTGTGTCTCATTTGTTTCATTTATGCATGCTCTAGACCTTCATCTTTTCAGTTTTATACCAAGTTTACCTGGGCCCATCTTTCTTTTCATTTAATAATTTATTCTTTAAGCTATATGTATGGTCCTAATCCTATACATGCGGAATTCTGGTAGGGATTGCTGCTTTTGAGATGCAATATGGACACTGGGTCGATAAACAGAACACTCAGATTAGTGAACTAAGAGCAGCTTTACTAGCACATGTATCAGAAATAGAGCTTCGAATGCTTGTAGAAAGGGGAATGGAGCACTATGATGAACTTTTCCATATCAAAGCCATCGCTGCTAAGTCTGATGTTTTCTATCTCATGTCGGGCATGTGGAGAACATCCGCTGAGAGGTTCTTTCTCTGGATTGGAGGTTTCCGGCCTTCTGAGCTTCTAAAAGTGAGTGCAAACATGAAATGCAGTTAACCAGGGTGTGTTTTTCTGTGCTTGTGCATCTGGTTTGTTTTCTGTGCTTTTGCGTCTGGTTGGTAGGCAAAACCAAATATGGTGACACTTAAATTTCAAATAACTAATATGCATTTCTCAGTTCTATCTCAAAAATATATTCTTCACTCAGGTAGCATATATATAAGAAGTCCACGCAGAGTAAATATGTGATCACGATTGTTCTTTTTGTCTGTGAGGTTGAAGGTTAGTATTTCCTATTTTGCTTCCACACCAGTCCCCTTCCTCGCTGGCACCGAATCATATAATGTTTGAATAAAGAACATGTATAATGCTGATATACTGAGCAGAAGGAAGCAGTTTGAACTGTTACGACCCGAAGATAAAAGTCTACTCTTTATTTGGTTTGCTGAGTCGGCCTTTTCTTAGTGCAATACTAATGCATCCATTTTGACCATCCAACTGCTTTCAGTTTCAGGAGATGTGCATTTGGGTCTTTATTGTATCTAGAAAATAGTACATAGATTACTTTGAACTAAAACCAATCAATGAGTTTGTTCTCCATAAACACTATCCGAGTTTTAAGCACTTTTTCTTCCTTCCCTTGGATTTCATTTTCTTCTTATTTTTTTGACAGATTCTCATTCCTCAGTTAGAACCTTTGACAGAGCAGCAGGTGGTTGCTGTCTGCAACCTGCAGCAGTCATCTCGACAAGCTGAAGATGCTTATTCACAAGGCATGGATAAACTTCAACAAACTCTCACCGAGAGTCTAACATCTGAACCCTTGGGATCTGGTGTGGCAAATTATATAGGTCAAATGGCTAATGCCATGGGGAATATGGAAGCTTTCATAAGCTTTGCTACTCAGGTGAAGTATCACTCACACTTTCCATATGCATTTTGTTCTGTGTCTTGTTCTCTCAAATACTGTTCAGTACTTCATTTAAAAAATGCTAACAGGAAAAGAGGGGATTTGTAATCAATTTGTAAATGAATTCTGAGCCGAAATCTTTTTCTGCCTCTGCTCAAAAGAAAGCCATGGTGTCTCTTAGAGTATAAAATTATAACCTTCAACACGACTTTAGGATTTTGGTGCAGGATGGACCTCTGACTGTTTGACGTACTACATGCTGAGGCCTTAATTTACCATTTAAGTAGTTTGGCTCATCTTTGCAGAAATCTTACAATTTAACATGGGCAATATGGGTTTTTCAGGGAAACATTCTGCCTCATTCTCTGAATACAATTGCCATTAACTTGAAGGCTTATATGCATTACTTTTTTCTGTACCACCCACGAAGTCATCCCTCGTAATCTTTATTTTGTTGACCTTAGAACTGGCTTTAGTTCCTCTATGTTCCTTTCCTATTGAAACTGGGAGTGGTAATAGCTTAGCGATGGCATTAGCCACCCGTACCTTAAATGAAGTATGAAACACTTGTCTGAGGTTGAAACTCAGTGCAAACTGCAGATAGCAAACACTCTACCCATTAATGATGTTGGTTCATAGAAAACTGCAACTGCTTTATGGTTACTTATTTGCAAGTGCAGTTGGAAAAAAAGGGCAAACTTTACAAAAACCCTACGAGCTTTGGGGCATTTCGCACAGGGCCCTCATGAACGATGTAAATGCAAGAAATCTCCCTGAATTTTCAAACTATGGGAAAATCTCATAAAACTTGTTACCGTGTTGATTAAATAGTCTAAAAGTATGACATAATTATTGTCTTGTTCTTTATTCAAAACCTTTTATCATAAACTTGGTTTGTCATAAATTGAGCTGAACTTACTCTATTCATTAATGTTGTTGATGGAAATTTGCCAGTAGTCGGAGAGGGCGTGTTATAAAAAGCTCCAAGGGAACTGCAAATTACAATGAAACAAACAACTACAACCTCATTCCTGCGTCTTGATACTAAGTCCAATTTATTTTCATGGAACAGGCAGACCATCTTCGACAACAAACCCTGCAGCGAATGTCGAAAATTTTAACGACTCGACAAGCAGCAAGAGGCCTGCTTGCCTTGGGTGACTATTGCCAGCGTCTCCGCGCCCTCAGCTCTGTATGGGCTGCTCGGCCTAGAGAACCAGCTTAAACTTAAATGCACTTGGCAAGTGATATATACTGATATTAAGCCATCAATGGTGGTCACACAGGATGAGATGGGAGTTTTTTTTTGTAAATATTCTTGTTGCTTCAGGCTCTCTCTTGCAAAAACATGTGATTGTCATCATGGCCACCCATTAGCTGTAATTTTCAACAAGATGCATCCTATTGTTTTTTTCGTCCTCTTGAGGCAATTGTTTCTCATTATGGGCAGCTGGTGTTTCTTCCTTGCCTGAGGTGATAATATTTGGATGGTTGAGGCATTGTAGCAAATTAAAGAGAAAGATCATGTATAACTATATTGTATATTAGAAAAATCTCCCTTTCTGTGTTGTGTGTCAAATTCTTAGAAATTCCAATAACGCCTTTGCAAAAACGAAAGAGAAAAGAGGGCGAACGAAAAAACAACGAAAAATGTTATAACACCGAGAAGAATCAATATAAATGCTTCGCTCTTGCAGATATTAAACCAAAGCGTCCTCGTATGCTGTTTGGTTATATAGATGTACCAAGATGTAAACAGTAAACCAAATAAATAACTTCCAATATTATTAGGAAGTAGAAAATAGCGGAAGTAATACTTTTTTTTTCGTTTGTTTCACAATTTTTTTTAAATGTAGCGGAAATAGTATTTTCTTCTTCTGTGCGTGAACTTTTTTGTTTGGACAATCATTTTAAGTATTGTTAGAAAGTGAAAAAGAGGATCTTTTGAGATTTTATTTAGAAATGGAAGTTATCCACGTAATATATAAATTGATGTTATTCCTAAATTGACTTATATTTCAGCTACGCTGAATATACTTCCGAGCCTTAAATAGATGGGAAAGAATTAAGAAGTATTGATGCCACATATGCGTCGTGTCAGCATTTGAGGAAGTGCTGAAAATATCTTTTACATAGAAACAAGCACGCTTCCTTGCTGGAAAGTAGCAAAACGCTAGCATTTACTTTCTTTACTTCAGCTAATCCGTAGCTACTTTCTTGCAAATAAAAATGCTCTAAGGGCCCGTTTGGATAATGGAAGTATTGGAAGTAAAAAACAGTTTAGCCAACAGCTTCGGTGCTCCCAAGGAGTTAGGTATAGTTTGTTTCCTTAAAAATCTCTCTCACATCCTAAATTTGAGGGATAAGATAGTTGACAGTAGTTCCACACCCAAAAAAGTAATTTCACTTAGATAAAAATGTTATTTTAGGAAGTATAAATAAGAATATAAATAGGAAGTAGTTAGAATTCTCCAACTAATGAAAAACTCTCGGAGTCTTTATTTTTTTGACGTGGTTTTCTTCTCCAATTCCCTAATTCATTGCGCGAATGGCCAAACCTAATGGAATTTAATTTTTGATATGGTCATCGATCCTATGAAATACTTCATACGAGCGTCTTCTTTCTCTAGAGTATTGAGCCCGAGATCATGAGTGTCGCCACCGGGCCAATCTGACAGGAAATAAATTCTTTTTGCATGGAGGAACTGTATGTATGAGCCCGACATTAATTGGCTTTCTCTTAGGCCTTGGGAACCTTCATTCGATTAATTTTCAACTAAACAACTGAGATTTTGAATGAACATGATTGCTTTGTTTAAGTTCATCAACATGGTTGATGGTCGATTTTCTTCGGATCCAATTTTCTTGTATCGCATTCAATCACATGTTAGATTTCTTGTTGATATCTTTATTGAGGAATTTTCTTAGCGTAATTCACCTATGATTCTATTTAAACGGATTTATACGCGTTTGATGGAATTCTGTGGATGAGAAATTGATGGGGACGAAGATTTTTTTTGTTTTTCCAAATTTACCCTTTTTTAAAAATAAATTAATAAATAATTTTAGGAGCACCGAAGCAAAGCCCAACAGTTTATAGAAATAACTTTCAAAACTATGAAGTTGGAAGTAGTGGAAATAGATTTTTTTTTGTTTGTTTTATATATTTTTAGAAGTAATGGAAGTAGAACTTTTTCCTCTTCGTTTACTTTTTTTGTTTGGATAACATTTGGAAATATTACTAGGAAGTAATTTTATCAATGAAAAGTTGTTAGAAGTAACTAATAAAGGAAATATTAATAAAAAATTTATTTATTTCCTATTTAATATGCATTTCAACTAATTACGAGCTACTTTTAAGTATTAAGGATTGAAAAAATATTTTGGAAGTAAGGATGACACGTAGGCGCCATATAAGCGTTTAAGAAAGTATTGGAAGTAAGTTTTTCAAAGAACCAAACATACTTTTTTGCTTGGAAGTAGCAGAACTAACATCTACTTCTTTTACTTCAGCTACTTCATAATTATTTCGATGCAAACAAACATGCCCCAAGCTGCAAAAACACACCCTTTTGGTTGGCACGTTGGCACCATCATTACTGGTGATTTTCACCAAATCACATCATTTTGTTGTTTTTCTCTCTCGAAACCCAATTGTTTCTCTTTCCGTTGTGTTTCTTCCTTTTTGTGAGATGATGGCGATTGGATGGTTGAAGCAAAGTAGACTAAATTAGAGAAAGATTACAATTTTTAGTGTTGAAATTCACATTCGATAAAAAGCCAGGATTTTTTTTAACTAAATAATAATTCAAGAAGGTCCTCTATATATAATTTTATATGTTAATCTTTTTTTTAACGCATAGACATGTTCAATTTAAAACTATTTTACTTTAGCTTATTCCATCTCATAGAAAAAAAAGTTTATTGAAGAATTCTAGGACCAAATCATGGGAAAATATAGAGATCATAAAAAACAAGCATCGACTTATAAACGAGTATCAAATATTTAGAGTACAAAGGGGGAAAAAAAGCATATCTGATTAAAAAAAGAGCATCATTTTGGGTTTTAAGCTGGATTAATTTCTTTCAGCAAAATCAAAGTCCTTTTTTAACGAGTTTAGATGATGCTAAAGGCTAAAAACAAGTTTTTTCCAAATAAAACAAAATTGTTAAGATACATCTAACATTTGATGAGAGGACTTTTGATTGGAGGATTAATTTTGAAATAACCAAACAATTGGGGGACCTAATAGCAATTCTATAATTTGAGCGACTAATTTGGAGCTACTTATAAAAATTGGAATCTAATAGCAACTTTAAAGGGTCTAGTTTCATAATAGTGACGATTTAAAGGGAATGATATCTAACACTCTTATTAATTTTTTTTTTTGAAGTTCAACTGAACTTGTTTTTACTGAATTTCTGCATGATATAGCCATGTGCTAATTTGTTATTGAATTAAACGGGTCCTAAAACCCTTTGTCAAAAGATCCGACCCGAAAACAAACCGGGAACTCTAAATACGCTACGGGCTTTTAAATTAAGTCCCCGTAGATCCTACGCTACGCGCTCCCGTCCAAATAGAAGATATCTCATCTCAGCCGTCCATTTTCATTTATACCCTACGTCAGTTCTACGCTACGCGTATCTTCTCTGTATTATACAACTCCCTCTCGTCTCAGTTTGAAAGGAGGCAGAACGAGAAAAAGAAAAAGGGGGAAAAAAAGAAATTTTCACAGGAATAAAGAGCGAAGCCCCCAAAATATAATGAAGTAATTTCTTCCCTCACTTTCTATTTTCTTTATGGTTGTGGTTGGAATTTCTAGGCTTTAATCAATGGATCTGCCCTTTTTTCAGAATATCGTCTAATTTTCTGCGATTTTGGAGTTTCTATTTTCTAGGGTTTTGGAAGAAAGAACTGAGCGCAGCGGGGAATGTGAAACCTAGCAAGTCCTTTGAGGTATGATTTCTGCTGTCCGATACCTTTTTCTCTCTGGCTTTTTGGAGATGTTCTGAATTTTTGTTTGGTAAAATCATTCTGAATGGGGAATTTTTTTTTTTGTATTTTTTGTTAGATATATGTAATACACTGTACGAGCCTATCTGATGTTTTATTATTTCTTCCATTTTCTGCATAGAACAACGCGTGCAATGCATTGCATGCGCATGGTTTCCGTGTAGTATTTGCGTGCGACCAAACATAATTGCTCTAAAATAATTAGTGCAAACTCGGGGAAAAAAAAGATCATTTCCAACATTTTGTTTGGTATTTCTAGGGTCCTGTGCTCTACTTGGAAGGACGATGATTCCACAGCTTTTACTAGTGGATGTGATAAGATCGTGAAAATGTTGCACTTGACGTCTTGCGGCTGGCTCACGCAAGTTGCTGCAAATGATGCACCCATCGAAGAAGTTGCTTGGGTCGAACGCTCAGATTGCATATTTAAGGGGAGCTGGGATAGGCCATTGATGAGGCAAATGAAGATTGAATTAGCTGATTAGTTTTTCAAAAGCCGCATCGATTTAGTTATTATCCCATCTATGTTTCTTTTTGTTTGCATAAGTAACTTCTTTATTGTTACATTACCTAATGTTTTCTTTCTTATTCTTGATGCAGGTGCGACCAGGACGCATCTGATTTAGTCTCTGGCCTTAGTTAGGTTTTTTCTGCCAAGAGGTTTGTAATCTTTGATAATATATGTTCTTCTATATAGATATTGTTATAGCTCTTTTCTATATCTGCTTCGAATGATCTGCAGGTTAGTTGCTGGGAGGTTCGGTAAGGTAGCAGTCAGGCAAAGGCAGCCATATCCCACGACCAACCGGTATACATATACGTTTTGCAAATAGCAATTATTTTAAAAAAATTCATGCAACAACTAGAAACATTGTTTATCGTTAACATCTCATTTAGTGTATCTTACGTTTTGTTCTCTGCTTGGAAGTATGATGATTCCGCAGTGTTTCCTGGAGGATGTGGCTTGAGATTGTCAATGGCGGCTCTTGATTTCTGGTGGCCAACCTACGCAAATTGCTGTGCATGATGCACCTGTCATAGAAGTTTCTTGGATTGAACAGTTGAATTGCCTAGGTACAGGGAGCTGGGACAAGACAGATGACAACGATGAGGCGTGTGTTCAGATTGAAATACTTGATTAATTTTTCAAATACCGCATTGGTTGATTTATTATCTGACGTGTGCTTTTCAAAAACCGCATTGATAAAGTATCTTTTGTATTGTTGCTTTACCTAATGTTTTTGTTTTCAATTTTTGGTGCAGGTTCAACCTAGACCAGGTGATTTTGTCTCTAGCCTTAGTTTCAGTCCTAATGTAAATCATATGTTGGCCAGCTGGGATAATCAGGTCTGTTCCACGAAGAGGTTTGTAATCTTCGATAATATATGTTCTCTTATCTGGATATTGTTCTCTCTCTTTTATATCTGCTTTGAATGATCTGCAGGTTAGGTGCTGCGAGATTATGGAAGGTAGCAGTCAGACAAAGACAGTCATCTCTCAATAGTAACAGGTATGTGTATATATTGTTTATCAACTGGCTTAAAACCCGTATGCAAAATTGGAAAAACACGATTATTGCTAACATAGAATTTGCGATGCCTTGGGTTCTGTGTTCTACTCTGAAGGATGATAGTTTCACGATGTTTACTGGAGGACATGATAAAATTTATCCTTTATTGAATGTTGCTCGTAACGTCTGGTGGCCATCCTATGCATTCATCATTTATGATCCTAATACCTAAACAATCCCTCAGTCAACACAATAGAAGTCCCACTGTATGATTCAAATATGATAAAGTTCCATTTCATTTTAAGCTTCACTGGTTGGTTCTTCTTCCTCTCTTGAAACCGTTCATGAATTTGGATTCTTCTTGCCGTTTATCTGGGTGAGATCAATAGAGGGAAGGTCAGGCATACACCATCTGGACAATGCACTGCAAAGTTCACATTCAAATGTTACAGGGACGGGCTGAGATATATCTGTGAACTCGTTGATTTTCCATCCAGTAAGTATATTTTTCATACTATCTATACCTAGTTAGTTTGGTTTTAATTTTCATGGACTAAATGACTGTTATGGTAATGGGATATTCCATTGTTTCTGCTTGTGTCATTTTTGTTGGCACGTATTCATGCGGTTGCCTGATCTAATAGTTTATCCACCTATAGAAGGTTCTGTGTCATTTTAAAGTTTAATGGGTTATTTGCCGGTATTGTTGTTTTTGAGAAAACCTAAATGATTCGATCAAAGTCGCTTGTATTTAAGCCTCAACATCTTTCATATGAAGGTAGTCTGGCTATGTACTGATAGTTTGATTATGATTTGACCATTGTATTGCATATAGATATGATTGTGTTTTGTACATAATATTAAGCAGCTGGTTCAAGAATAATCTTCCATTTTTTAATTGTCATTGTTGACATTCCATATTGTGTAAATTAACATGGAAATGATGGGGCTTGGGCAGCTTGGACGTTTTATGGAGGATTCTGCATCCACTACTGAAGAAAAAGATGAGGCTGAACTGAGGTGACGGGAGGATTCTGCATCCACCGCTGAAGAAACAGATAAGGTGGACTGAGGTGAAACACATTTGACATTGTTAGGAAACTACTTGGCTGAAAAGCATTTACATGTTGTGAGCTAGCAGTGCATATCAATCTAAAGATTGGCTCCCCCTTACATGGACCCTCCAGTTCATGTGGAACAACGACCTACAATTTAATCATTGCTTTGTTGGAAACACAAAAATCTGAGTAGATAAACATTATTTAAGTTTTAACTCATGAGGTTAGAAACTTAGAACCTAGATGCTCTTGAAACTCTGTTTTGATCTCTTGTGGTTTCTGGGCTAACAGTTAAATCATTTGCTGCTCTGATACTAGGTGGATTCAAGTAGCTTTTAGATCTTTTTATTTGAATCTCAACACCATTATGTGAATCATCTACCCTAGGCCTTTTGATTCAAATTTAAATATCGCTCCTAACCCAGCTAACAAATGCCACAATGGAGAGCTACGACTAGAACAATGATGGTTGAATTATAAGATAGTTCAAATTACCACATTATTGTAACCCAGTGATTTTATGTTCCTTTTTAACTTTGGTAGCCTGCAATATTATTTATCTTTCTTTCATCTTATATGAATTGTTCATAATATATTTATTTGTTCATCCATCTTTGTATGGTTTCCGTATGTGCTTCCACAACATCTTTGAACATTTTAACATTGCCCTCTTTGCACATTCTAATGCATCATAAGGATAATTTCTCATAATTCATTGGCTCTAATTCTATTAAAATTGATCTAAATTAATCTTGAGGAATTGCCAAAACTGGAAAGTGTGGAACTTTGATCTCAACAATGAAACTTACTATTGGATTCTTGCAAACCACTTGTTAAATAAAACTCAAACTTTCATGTTCTGAGCATAGCTGAATTTAGATTGTTTGGTATGATAGTAAGAACTATCTTGAGCATCGATCATGGGTATTGTAAATACATTAATCTACTCCTATGTTTGATAGGTTGCACGTTTTGGCCTTGTGAAAAACCTTATCCTTTTGTTAAATTCTTTTATGTATTCATCAGTCGATAGTGTTGATTATACTAGTTCTTGGTCTATTTTACATGTCTTATGTTTTGGCATGTGCTAATTTTTTTGATATCTTTCAGTCTATATGGATGGGGATGTGTCTGCTATGTTTGGCATTTAATTGTTAGTGTTTTTTGGTAGGTAAATCATACTTTTGCATCCGCTTGCTCTTATGGCACATTCAATTTTTGGATAAGGACAATATTCAGAGACTGAAGGTATGCACACCTACATGCTCTCTTTCTTTTGTTCTTGTCTCCTCAACACACTATTTGGTTCACTTAAACAATCTTCAGCATCACACATGCTTAATTTCTGGTAGTGGACATGGAAAAAAAGCAAACATTGTATTTATTAATAATATTATATTATGTAACATATAAGAAAATTCATTACACTGAAATTGATATATAATAAGTTCAGGGTATGCATTTGAATTACCTTGAATTCACTCAGGATAATCATATCTTAAATTTACTTTCCGGAGAAGTTCTCTACCTGAGGGCGAACCTTGACATAGCATTATAGTTGCTGCCTTGTGACTTGGAGGTCACAAGTTTGAATCTCAGAAATAGCCTCTCCGCATACGAGGTAAGGCTGCGTACATTTGACCCTTCCCAGAGCCTACAATGGTGGGAGCCTCGTGCATTGCCCTTAGATAGTTTTCTACCTTTTTAAGATGCAGTTCGGGTTGAAGTTAATTGGTGTTCTCTAGTAATTACCAAAAGCTAGCATAATGTCATTTGTAATTAATCCACTGGATGAATGGGAACATGCTGTTGATTCTACTAATGAAGTTTCTTTTTTTTTCCATAAAAAAGCATCCTCTTCTAGAAATTTGGTTGGTTTTCTGTCCGACTCAAATAGAAACGGATGGAGTCGTTTCATGAGGCCATAGATCCTGTTGGATCACTGGAAATCATGGACCTGAAGGAGAAAAGTGCTTGTTGATCTGTGACATTGTTGTGATAACAAGGAGCTGGCATGTCGGGTTGAGAGAAGAATAGTGTTGCAAACACTGAAAAAACTATTAACAGATGTGCCATTGGAATGATATTATATACACAACTTTTAATTTGGAAATGCTTGAGAGACGCAATTTCAAAAGCTGAAACAATTAACTATATATACATGATCCATCGCGATATATGATGCAGGTAATTGAGTTTGTTGCCGGATGATGTTGACATAATTATTACAATGTTTATCCTTTCGACCATTTTGATGTATTGTACTGAATTTATTCTGGCTATATCATGAGGTCAGCTGTGATTTGAGTAAACGTGCTGAAAATCATAACCAAACATACATCTATCTTCACAGCCCACAGGTTAGTTCATTTGGAGCATTGAGTTTGAGCATCTCCAGTGAACAAAGATCAAGATTATACTTGTTATTGAAAATTGAAGGTTTATTTTTTCCAATTCTCATATTCCTGACGTATATTTTTGTCTTTGAAACAGGAGGATGAGGTCAAAGGAAAACCATGTCTTGCAATTTGTAGAAAGTGAGACTTTGAGATTTAAAAAATCGAAGAGACTGTATTTTGTTTCCATTTTCGCATAATTTGGTGTTTCTCCTTGTGGCCAATCATGAGAAGCCATGGTTCTTTCTTCCCGTTTGTTTTTATTAAGTTCTGGGGGATGAATGAATTTGTTTCTATCAGCGCTTCTTTGTTTTCTAATTCATTTTTTTGTGGTTAGGAATGTTGCACGTTATCAACTGATTTGGCTTTCATAAACCTCAGTCAAATTTTCATATTATCAGGCCCTTTAACTGTTGGCTTCCGTTGTTATTGGCAGAAATTAAGCACTGTTTCGGCAAAGAGTTTCCGGATCCCATTAAATATAATTAGAATTGTCTTAAATAAGACATTAAAGCGGTGATCTATTTATTTTTACATAATAATGCTTTGCATTATAAGTATTATCAGATTAGATTTGGATATTTGAGGGGATCTACTCAATATCTATAATACCCAATACAATCAAGTGGGTTGGTTAAGCTTTATTTTACATAATTTCCCTAACCCTAAATTGACTCACAAAAAGGTGGGCGGCAATATTACACCGGCAAAGGTGGTCCATAATGAAAGGGGAATTGGGGGTGGTGGTGGCAAGGGGTGAGAAGATTTGGGAGATGTCAAACATTTTAAATTTTTTTTCCAATTAATGATTAATTACAATGCTAAGACCCGGGAAGCAATCATTAACCTTTCTTCTAATTAATGATTTGCATTTTCCTTTTTTACTTCTAGTTAATTAAAAGTGTTTCTTGTCTTTTTAACTAGATTTTTTTTAGCTCAGAAGCAATTAATCTTGAAAGTATTACTTTCTCACTAGCTGCCTTGTTCTGTCATGGGTCCTATAATTGGATTTTTGTAATCAATTTCCTTCTCATTTGATTTTATTTTTGGTATTTCCATATTTTCCACTTAAATCTTTAGTATTTCAAATTAGTCGTTCTGAGTCACTGAAATTGCTATTAAGTCCCCAGTGTCTTATATCTTGCTACTGCTTTTAATTGGATGGATTATTTTAAAACAAATCATTAGAACTGAGGACCTAAAGCAATTTCAATTATTTTGAAGACTAATTTTGAAGCAATTCATATGAGTCGAGGATCTAATTACAATTTAATGATTTATCTCATTTGCTACTTCTAAGGTTCTGTGCTCTAGCTATACTTGGAAGGATGATGGTTCCGTTGTGTTTACTAGAGGATGTGATAAGATCATGAAAATGTGGCCCTTGACGTCTGGTGTCACTTCACGCAAGTCACCGCACATGATGCACCTGATGATAGAAGTTGCTTGGATTGACCTGTTGAATTGTCTAGTGATGGTGATCTGTCATAAGACATTGATGAGGTGAGTGCTGATTGAATTATTTAATTATTTTTTCAAAACCTGCATTGATTGAGTTATTATCTGATATATGTGTTTTTATGTGCTTATATAACTTGTATGCAATTACATTATTGCAGTTAACTAAATTTTTTTAAAATTTTTGATGCAGGTTCAATGTAGACCCAATGAGTCTGTCCCCAGCCTTAGTTTCAGTCCTAAGGCAATTTACTTTGTGGTCACTTAGTAGGATAATCAACTTTGTTCTACTAAGAGGTTTGCAATCTTTAATAAAATATGTTTTTCTATATGGATATTGTTATAGCTCTTTTTTATATCTGCTTTGAATGATATGCAGGTTAGGTGCTGGGAGATTATGGCAGGGAGCGTTCTGTCAAGGGCAGCTATGTCCCATTATCAACCGGTATGCATATATGTTTAGCAATTGTTTTAAACCCATCATGAAAAATTGGCCAAACATGGTTGTTATTAACATTTCATTTGCTATGTCTCAGGTTCTATGCTCTTCTCAGAAGGATGATGAGTCCACAGTTCTTACTGTAAGATGTGATAATATTGCCAAAATGTTGCCCTTAGTGTCTGGTGGCCAACCAATGCAAGATGTTGCACATTATGCACCTGTCAAAGAAGTTACTTGGACTGAACAGTTGAATTGCATAGTTATGGGGAGCAAATTGAACTAGTTGATTAGTTTTCAAAAACCACATTGATTTAGTTATTATATTATCTATGTGTTTCTTTTGCGCTTAAAGAACTTTACTGTTGTTAAATTATTGCAGTTAACTGATGTTTTCTTTTTCAATTTTTGATGCAGGTGCAACCTGGACCTATTGACTTTTATATCTTGAGTGATCTGCAGGTTAGGTGCTAAGAGATTATGGCAGGTAGAAGTCAGGCAAAGGCAGCCATATCCCAAGATGTATGCTTTATGCTTATATGTTAAGCAATTGTTTCAAAACATTTCATGCAACAATCGGAAAAAGAATCATTATTTGTCAACATTTCAGTTGGCGTGCTTTATGTTTTTTGCCCTACTTGGAAGGGTGATGGTTCCATAGTGTTTAGTAGAGGATATGGTAAAGATTGTCAAAATGTGACCCTTGACATCTGGTGGCCAATCTATGTGAGTTGCTGTGCATGATGCACCTGGCAACGAAGTTGCTTGGATTGCACAGTTGAATTGCCTAGTCACTGGGAGCTGGCATAAGACAATGAGGCAAGTCTGTATTTAGTTACTGTTGATTAATTTTCAAACCATATCTATTTAGTTATCATCTAATGTAGTTTTTGTGTTCATACATAAACCTCTTTAAATTGGTAGTGCTTTATAATTTCTTGGAACAGACTATAAAGTTCTGTTTAATAAAATATATAGTGGGTCACCTCTATGGGTGATCTTGGTTGGCTATTTTGATCTGCAAAAAATGGAACATATATTGGGCACAAGATGCTTTCAGAGCCTTCTAATTCATTCATCTAACGATCCTTTTTGTTCTATCTAAACAACTATTCATATTGGATATTATACAGTCTTCCATGTGAACCTTAAGAGCTTCGTTGGCAGCCACAACTTATAGCATAATGCGAACAGCTCCCAAGTATCTTTTTTGTGATGCTGATTGATCATAAAAGTTTTCTTTACTGTCTTAGTCTCACAAGATCTTCATATCTCAATGATTGATCTCTAATGCTTATTGTCTCTGCTTTGAATGATATGCAGGTAGATACTGGGAGATTATGGCAGGTAGTAGTCAGGCAAAGGCAGCGATATCTCCTGACCAATTGGTATGCCTTGTCCAGAACCTTACTGACAGCTATTCCATTAATAGTGTATATATCCTATGTTGAAGTTATTATAAATCTTCTGTTTCTGCTTTGAATGATCTGCAGGTTAGTTGCTGGGAGATTCTGCCAGTTAGCAGTCAGGCAAATGCAGCCACATCCCATCACCAACTGGTATGCCTATATCCTGCATTCTGTTTAAACTGTCATGCAATGACTGAAAAAACTTATTACTGACGTTCATTCGGTATGTCATAGGTTCTTTGCAGTACACGGAAGGATGATGGATCCACAGTGTTCACTGGAGGATGTGATAAGATTGTTAAAATGTGACCTGATTTCTGGTGGCTAACCTACACAAGTCACGGTGCATGATGCATCCGCCAAAGAAGTTGCTTGGATTGAGCAGTTGAGTTGCCTAAATGCGCAGAGCTTGGATAAGACTTTGAGGTAATTCACATATTCACTTGATTAATGTTCAATTTTTTTTTGAGTTTGTTATCTTACTGGATATCTGTGTATTGCGTGCATAAATAACTCTCTATATATGAGTAGTTCTTTTGTAATTGCTTGGAACAATCTGTACAAGTTTGTTTCCCTATCAGAGAATGTGGTGGATCACCTCCGTTGATGATCCCCATTGGATATTTTTATCTGCAAGCGATGAAACATATATTGGACAAAAACTTTATGTTTCCTGATGCCTTCTGACCAATTAATCTTTTGATCCATATTGTTCTATTTTTATAGTCTTCCCTGCGTACCCTAAGAGCTTTGTCAGTAGCCTCAACTTAAGACATGAGGTAGGAATATCTCAAATATCTTCTTTATAATGCTGCTCGATCATAAATTTGATTGTTGATGCCTTAATCTCACAACGGTTTCTGTTGTCTTAGTGCTTCATCCTCTATTGTTTAGCGTCCAGAAAATAATCTCTTTCAGAGGGATGGCAATAAAATTATTTTAGTGACCAGATGCTATTGTTAGGTTGCAGACTTCTCCAGAACTCTATTTATAACACTTTCCATTGTCTGTTTGATGACCATGGTGTAACTTAGGATTCATCTGAAGCTGAGAACTGAATATTGCTATAGTTAACACTTAGTTTTTCTTTGCAATTCCTCATTTTTTTTGGCGTCTCTGCTCTTCCTGGGAAATTTGCAGGTCCAAATATGGGAGAGAGGGAGACTTGTATCTCTCTTTATTATTTTGTTGAAAAGCTGTATGAAAAAAGAGTGTTGGATTTTTGGATCATTTAAAATAGAATCCCCCTTTGAAGCTTTCTTTTGTTCCACTGTGCATCTTCAGCCAAGAACTCCTTGATTGTAATTGAAATTTTCTAATTTCTCACATGTTGAAGTCAGACAAATAGCATCGCCCAATACCTTCGCTTACCCTAGGCCAAGTAATTGTAGTTGTGGTTCGCCTATAACAATAAATGAAAGACAATAACCAATACGCTTTTAAACCTAACAAATGAAAGACAATAACCAATACGCTTTTAAACCTAATTAAAGGAAAGGAAGGTTAAGCTATCACTTATTGATCAAGTGAACATTGATCTTTTATTTCATTTATGATACTAATAAGTTCCCCTTCATGAAATTAATAAATAAAGAAACTCGTGCTTCTTCCCAGAGTCTTGCAGAGAATGGGAGGCTGCACAAAATAGTTGTTTGTGGAAAAGGCACTTTCATGCAAATTCAAGCTCCTTCAAGGGGCTTGGGAAAAACCGGTATCAATATGTGTAATACTTGCATAATTTTGTTTGCAGGCTTATGTTAAATAGTTAGAATCTAATGGCATAATACTGGCCCAAATAGAGCAGGATCTTGAGTGGGCTGGACATCAGGTGCAAGAAGAAGATTGAGCAGGTATCTATAGCCACTTAGTTCATGCTTAAGCTGGCTGAGCACTACGTTGAATTTTAAGGTGTACATGTAGGTGGGCATAGTCTTGGTTTGTTAGGAGCTGGTAATTTGTGTAAGCTATTGAGGTACCGTAACACTCACACCCACACACACAAACATTTACACGAACGCACACGCATAATATATACACACACACTGACCCACCCACTGACCCACACACATACATATACATACATATATAAATATAATATATATATGCATATACACACGAACTAGTTGTTACCCGTGCGGTCCACGGGACTTAGTATTACAATATTGTTGCACATACATGTTGGTAATATTATGATTTAACAAATACCTATTCATACTCAGCACGAGCATATAGTCAGTTGACCTGGACTAGATATTGCAACTCATTTTGGGGCAATGTTTATATTTGTAAAAGGATGAAGATCAAAACTCCCAGGGCGTGCACTATGTCTGAGTGCACTTAAAGGTGCAGTTTGGCCACTAGATCATTTCTAGTTTGTGCTAATGTCACTATATAGTTTATTACTTATTCCTCTATACAACAAGTTAAACAAATTGCATAATCCGAGAGTGGAACTTGTGCAATTACATGAAGATACTAACTAATCATCATACTCGCTACTACTTTCTGAACACATGCAAAAAATTGTATATGTAAAAGTAAACAAGTGAGCTATGTTGCCTAGGTACGGGTACGGGTACGGATGCGGGTACGGGTACGGGACACGGTAAATTTGTAAAAAGTAGGGTACGGGGACACGGCTATATATATATAAAATAATTCACTTTAGATCAATATTCCATAAGTTAAAACTATATTCCTTGCATAGGAAATAGAATAGAAAGCTATTTTTACTTTAATTAAAAATTTAGAACTAATATTATTACCTAAATCTAAGTTGCATGAAAATTGGTACTGGTACGGGTACCACCGTACGAGTAGGGGACACGACAAAGATGTAAAATGTTGGGTACGGGTTCAAACTACATATATATATTGAATTAATAATGTACATGAGATAATTTTTTTCTGCTTCATGTGTCATTAGATTTAAAATTTCGATCACATTTTTTAGTTTATTTTATCATATTGATTATCGTGAATTGTAAACTACTCATTTTTTACTAGACATCTAAACAACCTGTTAACTATATAGTTTGGAACTTGGGTATGGACTGAAACGAACCCGACCCGTATCCCATTAGTTTCAAAAGACGGATGTGAAGTGTAAGCTCTACGTCCAGGAAGTCTTTGACAAGTGTTTTAAATTAACACATATATCGTATAATTGAGTACATGTTGTAATAAATGCATGCATATATTCAAGAAGTGTCCATGAAGTTTGGGTACGGGAAAGTGTCGGGTACGTGTCCGGTACGGGGACGGCTTCAACAATGAAGTACCCGGGTAACATAGATGAAAACAAAGTAAAATCAGAACTGTGCACATAAAGGAAGCTCCAATGATTATATTCGAGAGATGAATGACATGTGTCCTCCATATTTCCAGAAAATCTTAAAAAGATGAAATGTCTCAAATTTACATGACATCCTAACTACACCATCGTAATAAGGAAAAAATATTTTCTTCTTAAAAGTCCATCTAACGATGTAAGAACAAAATATTTGCATATATCTTTGATTACGCAGTTTAACGTGCTTGCTTGGACTCAAGGATATTCTAGAAAATCTGAGAAGAAAAGGGGTCACTTGCCATGTCAGAAAAACGGAAGGGATCAATGACAAGCTAAGTAGCATGGAAACGGGCACGGGTACTGGTACGGGTTCGGGTATAGGACACGACAAAACTGTAAAATGTAGGGTACGGGGACACGACTACATATATATATTGAATTAATACTGTACATAAGATAACTTTTTCCCCTTCATGTGTCATTAGAATTAAAATTCCGATCACATTTTTGAGTTTCTTTTATCATATTGATTATCGTGAATTGTAAACTACTCATTTTTTTACTAGACATCTAAACGACCCATTAACTATATAGTTTTAAACTTGGGTATGGACTGAAACGAATCCGACCCGTATCTCATTAGTTTCAAAAGACGGATGTGAAGTGTAAGCTAATCGTCCAGGAAGTCTTTGACAAGTGTTTTAAATTAACACATATCGTATAATTGAGTACATGTTGTAATAAATGCATGCATATATGCAAGAAGTGTCCATGAAGTTTGGGTACGGGAAAATGTCGGGTACGTGTCCGGTACGGGTACGGCTTCATTATAGAAGTACCCGGGTAACATAGCAAGTGAGTCTTTTGGGTTAACCAAGGTCACAAGCCGTATAAATATACATACACAAGAGGCATACTCGACCCATTTATTTTATGTGTTGACCCATTTGTAACCTGTACCTGTTTATCTTCCCTCCAAAAAAGACAAAAGAAGAAAAGAGAGAGAAAATGGCCTAAAAATACTTGGATGCTTCCTGTTACGGTTATTATCAGTGTGTCCTGCTATCTATTTTCTTTGTAAGATTTGTAAAGATGATAGATTGTCTAACAAATCT